TTAAAGTTCCAGGTTAATGTTGTGAAAAACTTCCATCATTTTCCAGCTCTTGCTGTGGTATCTGGAGAGTTTAAGCTTGGGAGAGGATCTCTCAGCGGATCCTCAGTCAAACTCCTGTCCATCTCACTCATAATTCTCCCTGACTTAGTGCTTGGCTCCACTGGCATTTTCCACAAGTGAACTCACTACAGTAAAAATTATAAATGCAGGGGGTGCTGAGAATAAGGCTCAGGGGATAAAGCACTTGCCTTGTAGCTGTAAGGACCTGAGTCTGGATATCTAGAATTCACACTAAAAACCAACCAAAAAAGTGGGACATAGTAGCATGTGTCTATAACCTCATTGCTCCTGGGACAAAATGGGAGGTGGAGACAGGAAGCTCAGAAGCTCTATAAGGCAGCTAGCCTGGTTTACACACAGAGAGCAGCGGGAGACTGCGCGTCAAAACGAGGTGAACAGTGGGGAACCAATGGCCTCGACATGGGTGGCTTGGCTCACATCACACACACACACACACACACACACACACACACACACACACACACACGCACGCCACATTTAGGACTTCTTGATAGAGTCTTTCTGTGATCATATGCTACAGACTGACACAAGTGACCTGTCTGGTTTGGGTTTTTGTTTTCGTTTCTTCTTTCTATTTGAGACAGAGTCTTGCTATCTACCACCACAAACTCTGAAATTTAGACTCAAAGGAACATTCTTCTTAAAGGAAGGCATCAGAGTGAATCTTTTATACCCGGACTTCTCTGCAGAATTGGAAGGTCAGGAATAAATATTACAAATATATGAATAACCAATATTTTGAATCATTTGGGAAGATTTTTTTGGCTTAAATATGCTAGTGTGTTATAGATTTTGGAATATTTAGGGTTAGAATTTTCCGCATTCCACATCCTTGATATTTAATTCTATTACTTGTTTCAGTAACTTAGTGGCTTCAACACAAATTTTGTGTTCAGACATCCACAAGTTTAGATCATGACACTATTACTGACTATCTATGTGATTTTAGTAAGTTATTCAGTCTCTCAAAGCCTCAAAAATGTCCTTGTGTAAAGTGGGGCCAGGAAGAGTACCCACCTAGTAGATTTGTGAGATAACCTATGATGAAGCCCTGCGCATGAGATGAGGCATGCAGGAGAAGCTAATTAATATTTTCCTGTCCTTGCTACTCATCCCTGGAGACATGGAAGTGGAAAAGAAAAGAAAAGGAGCCACAGCCTGGGAGAGCTGAGAGTCACCTAAATAAATACATACTCTAGTGAGGTCCCTGTGTGTAGGCACGTGAGAATGAAGAAACAGGGAAGCCAGTGTCCTCTGAAGCAGACCGAGCAGAGGGCTGGGTGGCTGGCTTACATGTACCATGCAGATATACTAGGGGCTAGACCAGGCAAATGCTTTATAAGACCAGAAACTCATCCAGCAGGCATCTGGGTACACATGGAATCTTTTGTGTTTCGTTTTTCTCTTGCAGCACTTCCACGCTGAACACAGCCTTTGTGTGATTTTCTTATATATAAACGGGCTCTGTATTAGTTAATTTTCATGTTGTTAGGATCAAAAATATGACTAGGAGCAAGTGAAGGGAGGCAGGGTTTCTTTGGGCTTACAATTCGGGGTTACAGTCGATTAGAGGGGCAGCATGGTGTGAGGCCGCTGGGGTCCTGGCAGCTGTGCCACGAAGCACAGAGGGATGAGTGCTGGTGTAGGTTCACGTTGTCCTTTATGTTCAGTCTGGATCCCCAGGTCCTAGAATGGTGCCACCCATATTCACCAGCCCTCCTAAGACGTCCTCAAAGTGCCCAGGGGTTTGCTTCCCATGTGATTAGAGATCCAGTCAAATTGAGAACAGTATTAATCTTCACAAACTCTAAGTCTTTGAGGGCAACTGTTGTTTTTGAAAAATGAAAATCCCAACCGTTCTATTTTACCAATAAAGACTCAGGAGCCAGATGCTGGGGTGAAAACCTGCTAGCTCAGAGAGGCAGAGAAAGCACCCAGCTGACCTTCCTTCTTCTCAGCTCAGGTCCGGATGGAGAAAACCCAAAAGGCTCATTAGCTCAGCTGACAACCCAGGAGCAAAAGGCTAAAAAAAAAAAAACAAAAAAAAAAGGCCAAAGGCTTGCTAGCCTAAAGCCCTAAAACCCAGGGAACTGAGGAGCTGAAGCCTAAGCTAAAGCTAGAGCTTGAGCTAAAAGCTTTCTTCTCTAAGTCCCTCCTACTCTTTAATCCCTGTCAGCTGGTTTCTTGCTGTGCCTCTTGATCTAAGGTTAATGTTATTAAATCCTGTGTACAGAAAGCTCTTGGATTACTGGTGTGTGCTAGGACTAGATGAACCACACCATAATCACTGGCTTATAATAAACAGAAAGTTCTTGGATTTAAGGTGTGTGATAGGGCTCAACCATACCAAAGAAACAGAAACAGGGTTTACAGTTTACAATTTTGGGGTTCACAATGAGATCAAATATCGTGCAACAGGCAGTGAGTCTTGGACCCACAAAATGGCTCAGCAGTCATGGTGCTTGCTGCCAAGCCTGATGACCTGAGATCTAATCTCAGGGCTCATATGCTGGAAGGGAAGAATTGACTCTTTAAGTTGTCTTCTTACTTCTACACACATATTATGGTGACATATACACAGACATGCACACATACACACTCATTCAATCAGTAAGTGTTATTTTTTAAAAAACAGAGTGACTTGTCACTAAGAGAGTGGTAAATTCGTAGTAATGTTCATGAATTAGTAATTAGTAATCTGCAATCTATCGGGTAATCTCTCTGCAACATGGTGTATGGAGTGGTCATGAGGACTGCATGAGTTGATGCCCAGTGCCTGCAGAACAAACAAGCATGAAACAGCAGCCAGTGTGGATGCCACTCATTGCTGACTGACATGCTGCTAAGACATCTGTACAGACTTGTGATGGAACAAGCCTGAGGCGCTCTGTGGAGCTGCTGCCAGAGGAGAGCTTTCAAAACTCTCTGCTAATGCTGGGGCGAGACCTGACAGCTGATAAGATAAGGAGTTTCTGTTTAGTCAGGAAAGAGGGAAGCTCCCAGGACCGCTCCCTACCCACCAGCTCTGACTCCTGATGGTAGTGTTCAGAAGTGTGAGGACTCCACTCCGAGCAGGTGTGGGGGGGGGGAAGGGGGGATAAGGTGGTGGGAGGGTTCCTTCATTTCTTCTTGCTTCCTTGGCTTCATTGTAAAACTCAGGCCTACTTCAGGCTTCTCTCTTGTCAGCTATTATGTGACTTGGCTCTGAGGTTCAATTAAGTACATCTACACAATAAAACTGAGAGGGGAAAAGACTCCAGGATCTTGGAGGCGTGGGACCATAGGCTATTGATTAAAGGAGGAAAAACAAACAAACAAACAAACAAAAACGAGGACTAGCTACCCATTTTTTAGTTTTGTTTTTGCTTTTTTAATTTTTTTTTTGGACAAACTCAAGGCCTCACATTTCTGTTTGTTTTTGTTTTCCTTCTACTCACTACATAGCCCTTGGTTGGCCTGGAACTCATAGAGATCCGCCTGCCACTGCCTCTCTAGTGCTGAGATCCAAACCTGTCAGGCCTGGTTTTAAAAAATCACCTACCACTGTTTGATGTCCCAACCCATTTTTCAAGTACTGAAGGGGGAAATTTGACATATTTAAAAAACAACCGCTTTGAAACACACACACAGTAAAGGTTACAAATGGTTTCCAGGCTGGGCCTTCTATGATGTTTGTTCACTGATCTCCTTCCTTCATTAACTAAATCCTGAAGTCATCCCCTCAGCATCTCGTAAATGCTCCCTGAGTCCAGGTTGTAGGGCCTATGGTAAGCGGCCAGCACAGCACATTTGGGTTCCTTGCCTCTCTGGGCCTGTTGTGAGGCCACTGGTGAGCAGGTGGGTTGGAAAGGTACAAATGTGACTCAGCGAGAGAAAGGAGGCAAGAGAGATTTGTCCAAGCCACACAGCTTTTGATGGGTGATTTGCTACACAAGCTGTGGGAACAGTTCCCTCCACTAAGTCAGATGCAGCACTTGGGGCCTGAGCGATAAGGCCGCCAACAACTGGCTTGAGCCCGAAATCTTGTCCCAGACTTTGGGCTAAATTCCAGAAGTCTGATTCAAAGGAACTTTGCAGACCGGAGTGTGCACCGTTGGCTTCAGAGACCTCCGCCTGGGATCTCTGAGGCTTCTTGTTCATTCTAAAAATGGGTCCAGCTCAGCTTAGTCCAGATCTGTTTGCTCCAGAGCCTTGTGTGACAAGCTGCGTGGCTGCTCTTACAGGGGATGGAAGGGGTCCAAAGTCCTGTGGGACACTGGCTCCACCAAAGTCTGGAGATGGAGGCAAAAGAGCTAGGTACTCAGTGCTGCGGGAAGACCTGTATTGTGAATATAGGGGCGGGTTCTTTTTTCTCATCTCTGTGCAGCCAGTGGGTGCGCAGTACATATTTGTTAAAAGAATGACTAGGTGTTTTGATGGGAGAAGCTTGCCGCACAGTAAGAGCCTTACCGGATTTAGGGAGGGCCTCTGGAAATATCTTAACTGAGACTGCGGAACAGAAAAAGGAGCCAGGCCACACTGCCTTTTGCTTGGTCCTACAAAGGAAGAAACGGTGATACTTTTCAGAAAGTTTCCCTAGCCCTCAACCTACCGTCACCCTTTAGTTCAGTAGCCGAAGCTTGCTTTGGATTTCCAAGAGCCCCTAAGCTCTCAGGCCAAGATCCTGCTTGAATCGTGGTGGGTGCAAGGCTCAGTAGCCCCAGACACACAGTAGATGCTCAGTAAACGAAACAGTGCCCCATGACCTGTGGTTTCGCCTGGCAAAGTGGCAATGCCTGCTCCCTCATGCCTGCCCCCGAGCACTTTTTGCGGGAGGGATGACTCAGTTCGGCTTCTGAGAATCCAATAGGCGCACGTGCCTTAAATTGTTGGAGATGGGCTGCTGGGGGAGGGATACTGACTGTACTTCCGGGTTTAATGTTTTGAGCTGGGGATGCTGAATAGCTCGGAGGAACGGCCAAGCGTCCCCCAAACAAAACCCGGCTACCGAGACGCAACGCCTGGGGCGTGCTGGGCTGTTTTTGTGTCCGGGGACCAGAGAGAACGCGTTGCGCCTTTAAGGAGTCAAGCCACGCCTACCGCTGAGAGCAGAACGCGCAGGTGCGGGAACCTGGGCCCGGAGGGCAGTGCTCCCTCCGGCTGCGGAACCCCGGCCTCTCTGGTGAATCAGGTGAGCTAGGTGGGAGGGAAGGGGACGGTGGCTAAGCTCTTAGGAGAGGGAAGGCAGCCTCCATGCACTGACCACTTGTCTCCACTTTACGAGCAAAGTCCCTTTACCGCGGCATTGCCAGGGTGAATGCAGATGAGTCCGATATACTAACCTCCCTTCCTATTCCATTTTCCCGCTCTCTTTTAAGGTGCGAGGAAAGGCCGGAGATGTCCCCAGGCCGGGTCTCCCCACTGGCTGGCCGGCTGCCAGCTTCCTTAAGCCCAGGGATAGAGTGAGACTCAGTGGGATCTGCATCCTATTTCTCTTCCTCCTCCGGATCCTCCGCGTTTGCACCAGCCGAGGTCCCTTTCTCCTAGTGCCAGGGTGGATTTAGTTCCCCACCCCCATCTCCACCCCCAACCCTGCTGCCCACATCGCCCTGGCTGGAGCAGGGCTACGGCTTGCTCTCCTGTTACCAGGGAATCTCAGCATCCTTTTGCGGATTCGTAGTCTCATAGATTTAAAAAACAAAACATTTTTTTTTTTTAAAGCTCTAGGACCCTGTTTTTGGAGTTTGAGAGAAAACTGGGCAGGCAAGCTGTAAATCTCTATGGCTGCTGGAAGGAGGGGTATGGAGAGGAAGAAATTCGTGTCCTCTGAGGTGGGGTCAAAACAGGCTTAGCAATGGAAAGTCTGCAATCAGCTGTGTGGAAGGGCTCCGAATGTCCGGGAGCGACACTGTTCAGAATGTTAGGGCAAGCTTGCTTAGGATCCGAAGAAGAGGTGGAAAGGGGAAGGGGGGAAATTCGCGTTTTGAAGGAGCGCTCAGAAAAGTGGGTAGGTTTAGCAGTTAAGATACGTAAGCAGCTGCCTCCAGGGAAGGGCTACTGGGGTCTATGTGTACTTATCTCACTGAGGTGATAAATATTCCTACCTTAACAGTCCTCGGGCATATCAGCCTTGCTAAGAGATGTCTCCTGACTAGGTGACTGACAGGCCCAGTTGGATCAGCTCTTAAAAGATCATGCTTTACCAGGAGGAAATGCTTTCTTTTTCTGGGCCTCAACAAAGACCACCAGACTCTAGTTTCCTCTCTTGCATATTGCACTTGAAATGTTTAAGGAAGGACAATTGTGATGCTTTTCTCTTCTTAAAAAATAAAAAGAAGAAAGAAAGAAGGAAGGAAGAAAGGAAGGAAGGAAAGAAAGAGAGAGAGAGAAAGAAAGAAAGAAAGAAAGAAAGAAAGAAAGAAAGAAAGAAAGAAAAAAAAAAGGATGCATTGCCAGGGAGACCAGAGGTGGAGCCCAAAGCTCATGATGGGAGAGGCAAGTCCTGTTTGGCTAGCTAACACTCCCAAATGACCTAGTCCTCTGTCACCTCCCCTGCCATGAGCAGACTTCTGTACTCTCCCTAAGATCTCTCTCCTTCCACTAGTATCAAACCATCTCCTTTCAGCTGCTAGGACCTTAGCATGTCCCAACTCTCTTTCCCTTCGGTGGAGTTGGATGCAGGCCTAACCACTCTGACAGCCAGAACAGGCTGTATCATCCCTTCTTACACTGTCTGGGGCTTTCTGGGCACCTGTAGAAATGCAGATTGTGAAATGCTAGCTGCCAGATGAAGCACATGTATGATTTACGCCCTAGTCCACAGACCTGTGGGGGAGGCCACATGGGACATGGGGGAAGGATCTAGTGGCTGTGTGTGCAGGGGGCATGTATTTTGAGCCATGAAAATTTTTTTTTATTATCATTTATTATAGTTTATTCACTTTATATCCTGGCTGTGGCCTCCTCCCTCATCTCCTCTCAATTCCACCCTCCCTCCCTCTTCTCCCCCTATGCTACTGATAGGGGAGGTCCTCCTCCTCTTCCCTCTGACCCTAGCCTATCAGGTCTCATCAGGACTGATTGCATTGTCTTCCTCTGTGGCCTGGCAAGGCTGCACCCCTCGGGGAGGTGATCAGAGAGCCTTGCCACTGCTTTCATGTCAGAGACAGCCCCTGCTTCCCTTACTAGGGACCCTACTTGGAGACTGAGTCTATGGGCTACATATGAGCTGGAGTTTTAGGTTCTTTCCATGCATTGTCCTTAGTTGGGGTATCATTCTCTTAAGGGGCCCCAGGGCTCTTTTTTTCTTTTGTGTGTGTGTGTGTGTGTGTGTGTGTGTGTGTGTGCGCGCGCGCCATTTTTTTTAAAAGTCCCAGGTGCTAGGTGGTTAACAGAAGGAAACAGAGTCTTGCTCCAGCTGGACCTTGAAGACAACCTTTGCTTCGCTCCAGCTGGACCTTGAAGACAACCTTTGCTTCACTCGCTGCTTAGAAATCCTTCATGGCTGGCTGCCCCCAGCTGGTAGTGAAATACTGAATGCAATTGTGATGGCTAGCATAAAGAAAGTACTGAGTGCCTGGCTCTGTCCTAGGCTAAAGAATGTTACTATGTTACTTCCCGATAGCACCACAGTATGGGAGTCTGGTTGACACAGTTCTTAGGGGAGTGATATGAGACTTCCAGAAATGGCTCTTCCCCAGACACATTGAGTTTAACTTCAGAATGTCTCTGAGCCATTGACTTTTTACCCAGTTTTAATGACTTAAAAAAATTATTTTATTTATGTGTATGGTGTTTTGACTGCATGTATACCTGTGGAGGTCAGAAGGGGGTGTAAGACCCTCTGGGGCTGGAGTTTAGATGTTTGTGAGCTATCATGTGGGTGCTGGGAATTGAGCCTCGGTTCTCTACAAGAACAGCCAGCTACGTCCAACATCCACGACTAACTTCTTATACTCTTATAATATAGGGAGTAGAAATATGGCCCCTGTGTTCTTGGTATTAGTTTATTTTTCTAAAATTAGCCTTTGTGGGCTGGGAGTGAGGGAGATACACTGTGAGAGCGCTTGCCTGGGATGTGGTAGGCCCTGCGTTTAACCCTTGGCCTAGCTAAAGAAGTCAGTGAAATTTCTCTGATCATCAAGGAGTCGTTAGTGCCCTCCGGGGTGAACGGATGGACACACACACACCTCTAACAGGAAGCCAACAGGTAGACTGGTTTCTAAAGTAATAGTAGGTCTGTGATTTCTGAACCCTGTAACACCACATTTCCTCACTGTAGCACAGCCGGATCACAGGGAGAAAAACTCATGCTATATGGTGGTGTATTTACTTTTGTTCACCTGTAAAAAGTTGCCAATGGTAGGCTTGGGCCCACATCTCCGCTCTGCTTGCTATTTGGCTGTGGGCAAGTTACCTACCCTCTGAGCTTCCGCTTTTAGGAACCTTTCCTACATTAGAGGAAAGCAGTGACCCTTTGATAAAGTAATACACTGAGCCCAATGTGTGTCGCCAGTGTCAGGAAGAGCCGTGATTGTTTGCCATTACTTTGAAGCTATGTTTAGTGTTTAACCACAAATAAATCACATCCTCCATTTGAAAGTTTGGGCGTCTGAAGTTTTGCCAGCTCTAAGGCATTTGCACTAAGAGAGCAGGTTCACCTTCCCTTGCTTGAGCTTTTAAGACGGTGGCCTGTGAGCTCCAGGGGCCTGCAGAGTGAGTGAGTGTGGACACACATATTGTGCAGCTGGAAGTGCTTATACAGCTCTATGCAAGGAGGGAAACCTATTCCAGAGATGGCCTTGGGCCACCGAATGTGTTGCCTACATAGGCTTGTCTTGGGGGAAGATGTTAGAACCAATGATCATCCTTGGGTTTGGGAGGGAAAAAAGTAAGGGTGAGTGGTTTGTCTCAGGAGACTGATAAGCAGCTGAGAGAATATTCTTTACCAGTTCTTGGTTGTTTTGGTGACTAGATCAGTCATTGTGCTATGACTTCAGAAAGAAGGGCAGAGACATGGCTTTTAAAACTGTTTGCAGTATGCTGAGAGGCAAATTCTACAAGTTGTTTTTGGTTTTTTTGGTTGTGCTTTTGCAGGGTGGAGGAGTATGGGTGTGGGTGCTGAACCTAGGGCTTCGTACATGTTAGGCAAGTGCTCTACCGCTAAGCTACATGTCCACCTTTTTTTAAATTAAAAGTTAATTACATGTTTATTTGTGTAGATCTGTACATGCACACCCCAGGACACACAGGAAGAGTTGGTTTCCTTCTTCCATCTTGTAGGTTCCCGGGTTGAGCACACACTGGCAAGGTTCAGTGTCAGGCACTTCCCTACTGAATTATCTCCAGCTCTCCCTCTCCCTCTCTCTCTCTCTCACACACCACCACCACTTCCACCTCTACCTCCTCCACCACCATCAGTTTTTATTTTTTTCCTTTTGAGACACTGACTGACTGAGGCTAGCCTTGAGTGTTCCCTGTGCTGGCAGGCTTGGCCTTGGCGAATCTCCACCTCAGTCTCTGTTGCTGCTAGGATTACAGGCTTGAACCACCAGGCCAGCGGAAAATGTGTTACTTTTTAATTTCTCTGAAATTGCATTTAGTTGGAATAAAAATTGACAGAGATATTGAGTTTAGATATTTTAAGACATAAATCTTTATAAATTTTGCTCTTCTAGGCAATGTAAGGGGCCGAAGAATTTTGTTTTTGTGGGGACAAAAACACTTTCTGGGTTTTCTACTATAGTAACAACTAGCCACATGCTTCTATTTTAAAAATTGTTTAAGATTAAATTTAAAATTCAGTTCTTCATGTTTCCAATATGGCCAACAACTGTGTGAGGCAAGCCTTCATTGGGAAGTTCCAACGGGGATAACTCTAAAACGCAGAGAGACCTCAAGGAAGCTGCCTGCTGGTGACATTAAGTTCCCTTTCTGCTAAATTGTCTACAGGCCAGCTGTATACAGGCGTGCACATAGAGCGGGGGTATCATCATGAGGAAGGAGCATAGGAATCGTTTTACACTGCTTTTGGCTGTTCCACTGGCTTTTTCCACTGCCATGGCAGTGGGAGTTGGCAGAAGAAATGGTATGCTCCATTCTTTGTACACTTAGAGCCACGGCTGGGAAGGGCTCCACCGTAGATCAGTGGTAAAGTTCTTGCTTGCCTAGCTTTTAAGTTCCAGAGACCTT